CTTTCTTCAATGGATTTAAGTGATCTGAAGTGGGATTAGATGAGCAACGATGGGACGCTAGTTCATCGCAGGGTTTTCCCCCCTTCCTCAGCATTAACTTCGCCGGTACCATTTATACACCTGGGTGAGAGGCTCTCTGAGGGTACTGTGTCTTGCCCAAGAACACAAGACGATGTCTCCGGCTGGGGCTCAAACCTGGACCGCTCGATCCGGAGTCGAGCTCACTAACTATGGGGCCACCGTGCCGCCCCCCAAAAGTTTTCTCATACGAGCTCATCTATTTTCGCCATGACCGCTACTACGCAAGATGATCATCTCACAGTTGGAGCTTAGGCTTGACGCCTCTTTTCCGAAGAGATAAACCGAACTCGTGCGAGGCGATCTTCTCGCGTGCTCGTGAGCTCACCCACGAGAGAAACCTAAGAAACAACTCGAGGTCTCTGTTCAACAAAACAAGAATGACAATACTCAGATAAATAAGCACGAGTTAAAATCATTTTTAATGATTTCTCTTGCTCTTCAAATATGTCTTGGTATTTTACTACTACAGTACTATTTAACATAATTCAATACTACTCGAACTTTTCCAATAGATACTACTTTAAGAAAAAACTAAATTTGCACTGAAGCCAAACTGGTCCACCTCGTCCGAGTTGTAGCTTACCCCGATTTCCAAGAAAAATTTCATTAAGTTCTATTTGTAATGTTTCTAAAATTCAGATACATAGCCTATTAAATTTTTAAACAATTTTCGCGCTAAATTACTACTGGGTATTTTTTACTGCAGTCTAAACTTTGACCTTCAAAAGGGAAGTCAGTGTTTCCGTCGCTGAAAAAAATTCGTCTCCATAAAGTTAACGGACCCGTGTTTAATTTGAAAACCCTTTAAAAATTAAGGCAGTTTGATTATTCATTTGTCAGTTCATTTGTTCGCTTCTTAGGAGTTTAACCTAGTTCAAAGTATTTGTTTTGAAAATCACCTAAACTTGTTACACGTACTTTCTATTAGCTCTCAAAGTCAGTATTTAAATCATTGTTCCTTCGTTCAAGCCCTACATTTTCACTAATCTGCTCTCGTTTACACCTGCTAGATACAGTAAGGATAAGATAGAATAACTCTCTGCCGGTGACAAGGGTAGAATCAATGATTCATAACAGTTAAAGTTCTAAGAAAAAAAGTCTATAGAAAGAAAGATCTATCTAAGGTTTTAACTCATATGTATTTGTGAACCTTTAGTTTGGGTAACGTACAGTACAACCCTGGTTTCACGAACTCGTTTGGGTTCGGAAGATTCAGGTCGTTTAATCTGACGTTTGTTATAAAATGAAAATGGTTCAGTCGATGTCTTTACAAATGGTTAGTTTAGCAACGTTTGTTCGCTTTATCCGAAACCTCGTTATATCCGCAGATTAGTTCCCTATATTCGTTATATCGGGGGCTCCCTGGATCCAGAGGTCTGTTATCTCCGCAGTTTCCCTCTATCCGAAGATTGCTAACATCCGAAGGTTTATACCATGTGGAGGTTCCCTATATCCGGAAGATTCGTTAGATCAGGAGTTCCCTGTATAGGAGATGCGTATATCCCGATGCTCGCTAAATCCGGGGCTTCAATATTCAGAGTTTTGTTACATCCGGGATAAGGAGTTCGTTTAACTAGGGTTGCACTGTAGCATTGTGCCTTTTCTTTAAAAACTCTAGAGGTGGGTGTCGCGCGTGGGTTCTCGAAACAAGACTAATATATCGAGTGGATATTCACTCTCGCTGCCAAACGTCTGGCGGAAGATCTGCGCGTGTTGCCAGGCAACGTCTCCTTTCCCGCCACTGAGTGTAGCTGTAAGTTTGAGAGTCTTGGAGCCACTGAGAGCAGACGTAATAGTTGATTCTTGCCCTGTTGGAAAGAGTGATTTAAGCTTGTCAGTGGAAAAATATGGTTGCCACAGACATCACTTACCAAAATTATCTGACTTTTCCCTAATAAAAATACAATTTCACTGACAAAATGAATACAAAATGTCAGATCTAGTAGCGGCTTCTGGCGTGAACTTTCCACTCGTTCAATAAGATTGACAATGTGAAGGGTGAATTGATCAACATGACACGAGCGTGGGATAAAGAAAAAATTTGAGTCCCCGACAGGAATCGAACTCATGACCTCCCGAACACCGGGCGCGCGCTCTATCCACTGAGCTACGAGAACTCATGGAGAGCAAGGTCATTTAAC